TACACCTCACCACCTCCATTTACACCTCACCACCTCCATCTACACCGGCACCACCTCCATCTACACCTCACCACCTTCGTCTACATCTCATCACCTCCATCTATCCCACACCACCTCCATCTACCCCTCACCACCTCCATCTACCCCTCACCACCTACACTTACACCTCACCACCTACACCTACACCTCACCACCTACACCTACACCTCACCACCTCATCTACACCTCACCACCTTCATCTACACCTCACCACCTCCATTTACACCTCACCACCTCCATCTACACCTCACCACCTCCATCTACACCTCACCACCTCCACCTACACCTCATCACCTCCATCTACACCTCACCACCTCCATCTATACCTCACCACCTTCATCTACACCTCACCACCTCAATTTATGCCCAATTACCATATTGACACACCTACCACTTTCACCTCTGCCATTTCCACCATCATTACTACCACTTCCCTTTTTGTTAGCAGGCAGCCAGCACGGACCATGTGGGTGGGGAGGCAGAAGTGAACTAGAAGGTTACTCACAAGACTCTGGTCTTGAAAAGTCTTCAAGTCTTTGAGATCCAGGACCTCTCCAGCTTTTGATCTCCCCTTTTCCCTCAAAAAAGATAACCTTGGAATATTTAATGAAGATTGTGATAAAGATAAGAAACAGAAGTACACATGTTTATACAAACTCATTGATCACGAGTACAGACTGCCAAACTTCTAAGCCATGTCCCAATCTGATAGGTGCATATTTAGGCACCTACAATGTTGTAAGGTCTACTATTGGCACCTCAGCAGTTCTCAAACGTAGTGACCTACAGGTTAAAGACATTCAAGGAAGTTGTAATTTTGGGTGCCAGCCATCAGGGTCACCTCAATAGGTAATGCCAAACCCAGGCCTCTGCAGGCTCCTGGATGAGCCACCACCTGTCTGTAATAATGGGTGACCCTGGGGTGGGGCTGGATCATCTGTAAGGACTCTTAGACCTCCACCTCTAACATCCCTGCAAGACAGAATCCAAAAAGTATCCGGAATAGAAACTATGCACCAACCCTTCAGAATCCAGGCTGAAACCTAACACTCCCATAAAAAGATCACCAAGTTAAAAAAATAAATAAAATAAAATACCACCAAGTTAAAATCCAAGAAGAAATTTAGAGCAAAGACATCTGCCTGTGATCTCAGCCAGCTCTGTTAAGACCCTGCACTACGCCGGTCTGTTAGCCAACAGGCTCACCCTCCCCCCACCCTGGTCACATGGCTGGCCGCCAGGAGCCCACAAGTCAATCTCCTATGCCCCAAATACTGTTCAGCCTAGAAATCACAGTGTGTCCTTCTTGCCATCCAACAGCAACAGAGCGAGGGAGTCTGGCCTTCCGGAGACTTGGGTCGTGGTTTCTGGTGCTAAGACTGTGGAGGTAAGTTTGCATCTCGGAGCTTCAGGGGTAGCGGACAGGCTATGCACCTAAGGGACACGTGCTTTGCAGTGAGAGCGCAGGCTGAGCTCCACGCACGGAGAAGGAAAACACCACGAAAGCTGGACAAATGCTCCCAATGACCATTGGACATTTGCCTCTCCTTAAAAAAGATGTATTAGTCACCCTGGTGCCTTGAGTTTGCTGGTTTGGGACACAAAACATCACGCCACACGAATAGAAATGACAGGAGGCTCATTCCCTCCGACACCCTGGTGAGTTAGGTTTTTTTTTTGGTTCTCCTCTGATGGAGCTGAGAATCGTTTCTTCTAGGCATGTGCATTTCTATCGTCTTTGCCAAATTTATGAGACTGGCTGAAATATTTATAAAGTAGGAAAACCCCTTGAGATTTGCCTCTTTCCAGGAAAACTATGGGAAAATAAATCACATCTGTTAATGTAACATCTCGGGATAGAAACTGAATCATGGCTGGCCTCCTTTCATTACCCATTTCTGTTGTTAGGTCTTGAATGCAGTACCTGGTTTTGTTACTGGTGGTTTGCTTAGGGATATTCTGTTTGCTTGCTTTGTCTTTCCTCTCCTGGGGCATGCGTGGGGTGGGGGTGGGGAAGGGGAAGGTGCAGCTGCAATGTTGGGAGGGTGGCCTTTCTCTAGCTTCTAGTTTAGCTTTTTATTTTTTTTAAATACTTTTAAAAATGATTTTATTGATTTGTAGAGAGAGAGGAAAAGAGAGGTTTAGTGAGATAGAAACATCAATGACTGGAGAGAATCATTGATCTGCTGTCTCCTGCACACCCCCTACTGGGGATCGAGCCTGACTGGGAATCAAACCGTGACCTCCTGGATCATAGGTCAACGCTAACCTCTTGGTTCCTGGGTCAATGCTCAACCGCTGAGCCACACTGGCTGGGCTCTAGCTTAGCTTTTAAAAGCCCAGCATGTCAGTGGTTCTCAACCTTCCTAATGCCGCGACCCTTTAATACAGTTCCTCATGTTGTGGTGACCCCCAACCATAAAATTATTTTTGTTGCTGCTTCATAACTGTAATTTTGCTACTGTTATGAATCGTAATGTAAATATCCGATATGCAGGATGTATTTAGGCGACCCCTGTGAAAGGGTCGTTCGACCCCCAAAAGGGTCGTTCGACCCCCAAAGGGGTCGTGACCCACAGGTTGAGAACTGCTGCCCTATGTCATTCTTGTCAATTTAGTTTATAAAATAATCCCAGATGAGCCCTTTAATGGACTACTTTGGGCTCTCAGAGGGGCTCACTGGGTGTGTTGCTGGGCTAGTCCCATTTTCTTAGATATAATAAGGTCAAATGGCTTAAAAGATAGGATGGGAGAAAAAGCTCTCAAAAGGCTGATGAACATGGCACGGCCTAGTTCATTTTCTTCCAGAGACACGACGCCTAATCGTGAGGGCTTATTATCTCAATAAGGTCATATTATGCCCTTCTTCCCTAGTAATTGAACTATTTGTTCTGCTTCCGGTGTCTACCCAAACATCTGGAACAAAGTGGATTTGTTGGACTACGTCGATGTACCCTGTGGATGGGGGTGAGGGGAGTGTTCAATGGCAGGTGATTCAGTCACCAGGGTTTTGATCAGGGGTCCTCAAACTACGGCCTGCGGGCCACATGCAAATACAAATATTGTATTTGTTCCCGTTTTGTTTTTTTACTTCAAAATAAGATATGTGCAGTGTGCATAGGAATTTGTTCATAGTTTTTTTTTAAATTATAGTCCGGCCCTCCATCGGTCTGAGGGAGAGTGAACTGGCCCCCTGTTTAAAAAGTTTGAGGACCCCTGGTTTTGATGGTCAAAATGTGCTGGCCACCCGTAAGGTTGGCTGTACCCCCATCTCCTTACTGCAGGGGATGAGGAGGCTGCTGGGCAGGGGCCCTGAGTGTCTGCTTGTGGGTGTGGCACCCAGTCCTTAACCTTACAGTCGGGTTTGGATTCCCAGGGACCCCAGGTATGCTTCCAGGCTGCTGGCAGGGGCAGTAAAGTGGAATGGGGCCCTTAAGTGACTGAGAACAGAAGATAATTTGATCTGATCTCTCACTGTGCAGCCATGTTTCCCACCAATACCATCTATGATCTAAAGATGGATGGGAGATAACCGGTGGCTAGTTGGACAGTAGAGGGGCTGGTGTAGGGAAAACTGCTGGCTCAAGTTCTTTCATTTGCCACATGGCAGGGGCTGGTGTGTTGCTGACACAATTCCTTAGGTAACATTTTACTGTGGATGGTTGTACTGGTGAATACTCTTTGGATACGAGTAACTCAAATCAACTGAAGGTAGCTGAAGAGAAAGGGGGGTATTATAGGGCCATTGGGAGTGTCAGGAATTCAGCTAGGCCTTAGGAAGGGCCTGGAACCCCGAAGTGGGAGGCTTATCTAGACCACCCTTCCTCCCATCTCTCATGTCTTCATTTCTTTCTGTCCTCTTCTTCCTCCCTCCCTTCCGTGGATCCAGGAATCAGGGAGATTCCAATTTTAATCTTGGCTCCACCATGCCTGGCTCTGTGACACAGAAAAAATTGCTTAATTCTCAAAATTCTTAATTCTTCAAAATGTACTAGGGCTTTTCTGTGACCTAGTAAACATGCTCTCTTTGTAAATGTTCCACTGGTAATGGAAAAAACAGGTGTGTTCTCTTTTTGTTGGAGATAGTTGAGCTTCTTCAATTTGTCTAAACAGTGGGGCCTTGACTTACGAGTTTAATTCGTTCCGAGACTGAGCTCATTAAGGAGCTCGTTAACTCAAATTACTCTGTCAACTCAATGCAAAAAATCGGCCGAAAGACAGCTGGTATCTCAAAAAACTCGTTAGTCGGGACACTCGTAAGTCAAGGCCCCACTGTACATTCTTTTGCCTGAATTTTTTCATCTGCGTTAAGGTCTCCCACTATGCGTGTGGATTTAACCATTTCTCCTTGGAAGTCTAGCTTCTCGTGTCGCACACACACTGAGGCGGTGTTCGTCTTTTACTTTACAGTCATGAAGGTGGAGGAGGAGCAGGCTGGGGCAGGGAAGCTGGACCCTGCTAACTACAGGAGGCGATGTCAGGACCAGGAAGGTAAGGTCACCTTGAGAACTTGATGCAGATCCCAGGAGGGTCTGAGAATCCCTTGAACATTCTTATACCCACCCTTCCAGCTGGGGAATCTGCAGAGCTCGTCCCTTTTCCTGGCTCACCCACATTGTCTCTTCTCGATCCTGTGGAGCCAGCGTTCCCTGTGTCTTAAAGGGACCACGTGGTCAGGCTGGAACAGGAAAGTGGCACTTTGCTTGTATGGATTAGGGCACAAAATGAAACTCACCTAATATTACAACATCTACAAACCATACTAATGCCAAATATCAACATTTTATAGATTCTAAAAATGGCAGTTCAGCTAAACCAGTGCAAGAGAGTGTTGAGTGGAGGTATTTCTGTTGCTGACTCTGAGGCCTCAAGGATCCTACACTCAGAGAGGCAGCCACAGGGCTTATAAGAGGCAACCAGACAGGCTGTGGCCCCACGTGGAGGCAAAGGCTGATCTCGCTGCCCAGCTGGAAGCTTGCTGAGCTGCAGACTGTGTAGAGACACCCTGAGGCTGCCACAGGAGAAGAATGCAGTGAGGAGTTACTGGGAGAACTTGGCATTGTCCCGAGCAAACTGCAACTGTTCGCCGTGGGAGAAGAGGTCCCACAGAGCAAAGATGGAAGAAGGTTAGCCATTCCCCACGGTTCACCAGCTTAATGGCCATGCTCTGATGATGGGAGCCAAAAAATAAAAGACACTGACAAAGAAACAAACATGGCCCTCGCTGGTTTGGCTCAGTGGATAGAGCGTTGGCCTGTGGACCGAAAGGTCCCAGGTTCAATTCTAGTCAAGGGCATGTACCTTGGTTGCAGGCTCCTCCCTGGCCCGGGCCCTGGTCAGGGGACCTGCAGGAGGCAACCAATCGATGTGTTTCTCTCACATTGATATTTCTCTCTGTCTTTCCTTCTCCCACTCTCTAAAATCAATGGAAAAATATCGTTGGGTGAGGATTAAAAAAATAAAATAAAGATCATGAAGGAAAATATTAAAAAAGCACACAAACGAACATGGAACAAGGTAGATGCAGAGTGGAAAGTGAACTATGTCCCTGACAACCATCTCCCCTGATTTCTTTAATAAGTCCCTTTACGTATCTAGCCCCTTACAATTTCATAATCATGTTCCCATACACCATGTCATTCTATCTTCTGAAAAACCTTGCCCAGCCAGTAAAGAAAGGACTTTGTATTCCTGCATAACAGATGAGGACACCGAGTCCCAGAGAGGAAGATGTCCGTGACCACAGACAAGCGAAGGACGAGCCAGGGAGCCTGCAGGGCAGTGACTCTCCCAGGCTCCGCTTGATGCAACGTCTGTGTGATGTCTGCACTCAGCATGTGCATCCCGCACGTGCATTTCAGGAGTCTGAGCCCAGAGGCAGTCCTCCCTTCCATGAAAAAATATCAGGTCAATGTAGATCTGGAAAAGTCAAAAGTTCTTCCTCCAAGATCAGGAATAGGATAAGGATGCCCACTCTTACCACTCTTATTGACACAGCACGGTAAGTCTTAGCCAGAGCAATTAGGCAAAAATAAAATACGTAAAAAGCATACAAATTGGAAAAGAAATGCAACTGTCTCTATTTGCAGATGACATGGTCTCATATATAGAAAACTCTAAAGACTCCACCAAAAACCTGTTAGAACTAATAAACAAATTCAGTGAAGTTGCAAAATGCAAAATCAGCATAGGAAAGTCCGTTGCATTTCTGTGCACTAATAAACTATGAGAAAGAAAACAATCCCATTTACAACAAATAGAACAAACTACCTAGGAATAAAAAAATTTAACTAAAGAGGTGAAAGACGTGTACACTGAAAACACTAAGATATTGATAAAAGAAACTGAAGTAGACACAAATAAATGAAAGGTAGATATCTTATGCTCATGGTTTGAAAGAATTAATATTGTTAAAGTGTCTAAACTACCCAAAGCCATCTATAGATTCAATGTAATCCTTATCAAAATTCCAATGGCATTTTTCACAGAAATAGAGCAAATAATTCAAAAATTTGTAGGGAACCACAAAAGACTCCAAATTGTCGAAGTAATCTTGAGAAAGAAGAACAAAATTGGAGGCATCCTGTGTCCTGATTTCAAACTATATTACCAAGCCATAGTAACCAAGACAGTATGGTATTTGCATTAAAAAGATATATATCAATGGAACAGAGCAGAGGGTCCAGAAATAAACCCACACACATATGTTCAACTTCCAACAATATACATTGGGGAAAGAATAGTCTCTTTAGTAAATGGTGATGTGACAGTCACATGTAAAAGAACAAACTGGATCACTATCTTACACAAAACATGAAAATCAACTCAAAATAGATAAAAGACTTGAATATAAGACCTGAAACCATAAACTCACAGAAGAAAATATTGGGGGTACCCTCCTTGACATTGATCTTGGCAACAATTTATTTTTTATTTTTTTTTGGATTTGACACCCAAAGCAAAGACAACAAAAAACAGAAGTAAACAAGTGGGACTATATCAAACTAAAAAGCTTCTATACAGCAAAGGAGACCATCAACAAAATGAAAAGGCAACTACAGAATGAGAGAAAATATTTGCAAATCACCTCTTTTATAATGGGTTAACATCCAAATACTAATATACAAATAACTCATACAACTTAATAGCAACCCCCGGCCCAAACTATTCAATTAAAAAATGGGCAGAGGAACTAAATAGATGCCTTTCCAAAGAAGATATCCAATGTCTAACAGGTACTTAAAAAGGTGCTAAACATCACTAATCATCAGGGAAATGCAAATCAAAATCACAATGCAATATCACCTCACACCTGTTAGAATGAGTATTATAAAAAAGACAACAGATAACCAACGTTGACGGAGATGTGGAGAAAAGGGAACCCTTGTACACTGTTGGTTGAAATGTAAGTTGGTACAGCCACTATGGAAACCAGTATGGAAGTTTCTCAAAAAATTAAAAATTCAACTATCATATGATTCAGCAATCCCACAACTGGGTATATACTGTAGTATCTGAAGGAAACAAAATCACTATCTCGAAGAGATGTCTGCACCCCGTGTTCATTGCAACATTATTCATAAGAACCAAGGTATGGAAACAACAACATCTAGCGTTGTTTATATGTATGAATATTATTCAGTCATTAGAAAGTAGGAAATGCTGATATTTACAACAGCGTGGATGGGTCTTGAAGGCACTATGCTAGGTGAAATAAGTCATACAGAAAAAGACAAATACTGCATGAGCTCATTTATATGTGGAATCTAAAAAACCCAACTCATAGGAAAAGAGAACCAATTACTGGTTGCCAAAGGCAGGTGGTGGGGAACGGACAAATGGGTAAGGACTGTCAAAGGCACACATTTCCAGTTATAAGGTAAGTTCTGGTGATGTAGTGTACAGCAGGGTGGCGATAGTCGATCTGTAGTGTATACTTGAGTTGCTAAGAGAGTAGATCTTAAAAGTTCTCATAAGAAAAAAAATGTAACTATGTCATGATGGATATTAACTAAACTTACTGTAGTAGTCACTTCACAGTGTATACATACACTGAGTGGCCAGATTGTTATGACCACCCCATCAGTACTTCATTGACACTTCCAAAAATACTGAATATTGAAAACTTCCTAAGCAAATAGTCTCAAGGTTTTATTATTATTATTATTTGCATAACTAATTCACTTCATTGTACTGATGGGGTGGTCATAATAATCTGGCCGCTCATAATAATCTGGCCACTCAGTGTATATCACATCATTATTTTGCACACCTGAAATGAATGCAATGTTATATGTCCATTATACCTCAATTTAAAAAAATAGAGGGAACTTTGTGGAGGTGGGGGCGGGGGGGGGGGTAGGCACATGGAAGTCTATGTACTATCTGCTCAACTGTTCCGTACGTCTAAAACTGTACTGATCAATCTATTAATTATTTTTAAAAATTGTTGACTGCAAGACAACACCGATGAGAAGCTGGTAGCAGCAGTCCTTCCTGAGGGCGGGGAGAATTCTGCTGTCTCTGTGGCCCCGGCCTGAGGGGCAGTCGGGGGGCGGGGGGCGGTGGTGGTTTGCGCAGCAGCCAGGCTTCCTAGTAGAATTCTGAATTTAAGGTTCCTGGTAACTATAGTTCTTGAAAATTCTAGTTTACACAACCAGCTTTGAGAAACCCTTAATAACCGTGCTCTTCTGGTAAGTGGTTCACGTAGCCCTTGGTTGTTAGTAAAAATGGCCCTCGATAAGGTGCACGCGGAATTTCTATACCAGCCAAGGAGGGGCTTGGTGTTTGGGACTAAGCCTGGGACCCCTGAGGGCCTCTGTCCTGCGTCACAGGCCATATGTGGTCGTCGCTGCCTGGACGAGCCGGCAGCTGGGGGCTCTGCTCATGCTGCCAGAGTTCTGGCTGCAGCGCCAAGGGCAGCTTTTCCAGCACCGCGTTGTTCGGAGTGGGGTTCCGTCAAGCCCATGCCTCGGGCAGTGGCCCTGGCCAGGAATCCCACGTCTCGGGTTTTGCTCTTGGCCTTAGCTCTTTGGGACTGGAGGCTGTTAAGGAGAAATGCCAGCTTTTAGTGACTCTTGGCTTCCCCCCTCTTGTGTTGTGCCCACAGACTGCCATTCCATCCACATTGGGCTTTCCGTCCCCAGTTACCTTCAAAGGAAGAGAGACCAGAAGGGACAGCCTTCAGGCCAGCAGAAGGTCCGCTGGGGCCTGTGGCCGGACAGGGACCCGACCGGCGTGGGGAGCAGGGCAAGCAGCGGGGACAGCAGTATGGATCGTGCCAGCAGGACCCGTGAGTTCTTGAGGGGTGCGTTCTGGGGAGCCGTCTGCTGTGGGTGCAGGCGGGGCATGGCCAGGCAGGAGGGAGCCTCCTGAGATGTGGCCCGGTGTCCCAGTTCCTCTCTGCTCCGCTGCTGCCATTGCGGGTGGGTTCGCTGCTCTGGGCCGCCTTTAGTCAAGCTGAGCGCCTCTCTCTGGGGGGAGTTCAGTCCTCTGCTCTGATCCATTTCATGCTGATTTCATGGCTTAATGCTCCGAATTATTTCCTCCATTTCTAAATTCCTAGGGGCCACCTGGCCGTTGCCCTAAGGACCAATACGAACACGCCCGTTGGGTGTGAGGCACTGTGCTCAGCAGACGGAATTGCTTTGTCATTACCTGCCCGTCGGTCCTCCCGAGCGTGGGGAACTGGACAGAGCTGTCCGGGACCTGCAGGGGGGCTGCGGAGCCCTGGGACGCTTTCTCCAGGCCCACAGAGCCCGGGGCTTCCTCTGCGGCTGCAGAAATCAGTTCCAGGCTGATTACAAATCATTCTTTTGTTTTTTCCCGTGGAAAGAAAGATATCAGTCTTAAGAGGAGTAAACGACCAGAGATCTTAGAGCACGGCTGTGACATTTTATTCTTTTGTGACTTTACTATTTCTAGGGACTTACATGTACTCCCATCATATCCCAAATCTGCCTACTAACTGACATTTAATTGGTTTTTATTACATATTTTTACTGTCTCGAGCAAGGCAAAATTAGTGACTTTACCATCTAAACCTTCAGAGGCATGCCAGAGGCAATCACAGGGTTTTAGTGTCCCCCGTGGGAGAAGACCTGACATACATGCTCCCAAAGGCCCCCCAACCCTGCTGCTGCCCTGAACCACTGTACAGGCACCCAGTCTACCCGGCCTGTGGCCTTCCCAGAGTAAGCGCGTCTACAGGGGAGATGGGTTAATGGGGAGTTCGTTGAACATGCCCAGGGTAAGAGATAAGTGTTGATTAAAATACATCTGTGTGCGCGCGTGCACACACACACAAAAAAACACGCATGCCTATGCATGTGCACACACGCATGCTCAGGGGTAGGAACATCAGACACGCAGTGGAGATCAAACCTGGTGGGAACTGGGTGCTCCCCACGTTGGAACTGGATGCCTCAGGCTCGCTTTCAGGGGCATTTCCCTGTCACCCCACTGCCACCACCACATTCAGGGGTAAAGTCACCCTCTGCAAGTTGAGTCTGTTGGGTCCCTCCTGAGCCAGGGGAGAGGCACATGGTTTAGAGTTGGCGCTCTCTGCTCAGAGGGTTTGGAGGAGAGCTAATAAGTGGCGTGTTTTTATTGATTTTAGAAAGAGAGGAAGGGGGAGGGAGGAAGAGAGAGATAGAAACATCAATGATGAGAGAAAAACATTGACCTGCTGCCTCCTACACACCCCCTACTGGGGATCGAGCCTGCAACCCGGGCATGTGCCCTGACCAGGAATCAACGGGTGACCTTTCTATGCATGGGATGATGCTCAATCTACTGACCCACACCGGCCAGGGCGTAAGTAGTATTTCTTGATGTGACATGGTGCATCACATGGCGTCATGAATGGTGGATTATTTTGGTGGTTTTTGGTTCAATTAAAGGGACACTGCTTTTACCTGGAAACCAAAGGAGAGAGAGTGGGGAGAATCCTTTGATACATTTGTACATTTGGTTTATTCCTTTCACAGCCTGCTGTTCCTATACCACGTGCATGTGTTACTGGCTTGTCCCTGGAATGGGTATGGAACTGGGGGAGGGAGAATGGGAGAGCCTAGGAGGACAGGACATTTCAGGCTGTATTTTTCAAATTGGAGTAAAGTAGGGACCCCTTTTAAAAAGAAAATAACATCTGTGGATCCATGAAAATGTATTTGCACATTTGTAGAGCCCCAGGGGGGCATTGGGTCCCAGTTTGAGAAATAATATCTTCATTAAGGTTTTAACCCATAGAACTGTGTTTCGGTTTTGAATGATAACAATAGAAAAGTTTTCTTCTTGCAGCCGATAAAAGAAATCTTTTAAAGATTATCATCAAAATGGAAACACAAACTTTAAAACTTTCCATAGAACCCACCTACCCCTAAGAATACATTCCAGACGCAGTTCTAGATGCGCTTGACTTAAGGGAGCCACAGAGCTGCTAACAAAGTCAGCAGCCACAGCGTTGTCTATAGCCTGGGGGCCAAGCTTGTTCCTGCCATTCTCCACGGGGTGAGAAGGTGGTAGAATGACCTCTCAGTCATTCACTCCTTCCAGGCCAATGGGGCACTGCATGTGTGGTGCAGATACGGACCCCACTCCACAACCTCGCAGGGTCAGGGACAATGACCTGCAAAAGGAGGTCACAGTTCAATTCCCAGGCAGGGTACATGCCCGGGTTGCAGGCTCGATCCCCAGTAGGGGGCTTATGGGAGGCAGCCGATTGATGATTCTCTCATCATTGATGTTTCTCACTCTCCCTCTCCCTTCCTCTCTGAAATTTAAATGTGTGTGTGTGTGTGTGTGTGTGTGTATTTTGTTGCCAGAACCCTTTTACCTGCACCATCTAGATAATTGTCTGAGTCTCCCACTTCTCCTTGCTGTAGAGCACCTGACCACATGTGTTTCTCCTCTCGGAGTGTCCTGTATATTCTGCGAATCCATCCAGACAGCCCAGGCAGGAGGTCCAGCTGGTCTGGCCACGTAGGCCCAGTGGGAACTCCCACTACACCGGACGGGGTCCATGCAGAATGTGGGGGCCGGGGCCGGGGCCGGGTGGTTCGATGTGGCAGGGCCCAAGCGTAAGGCAGGCTGTGCAGATGCAGAACTGACAGGAGACACCTTTAGTTCCCGCCTCACGGAGGAACGGCCGGGATCCTGCAGGGCAGTGTATGTGAAGGAGTTTTGTACCACGAAATGGCAGTTCATTATAATTTTGTTAACTAATTGTATAGCATTCATAACAGGGAGCTACTACTCTCCCATCTTCAAATAGAGAAATCAGGGCTCAAAGGGATGAGTGTGATGCAGCTGTAATCAGTGAAGCTGGGATTTGAAAACAGGTCTGTTGACTCCAAAGCCTGTGGGTGCCCCTCCCGCCCCACCGCTGTCCTTTGTAAGACCTCGTTGCTCAGTCACCATATTCCACACAGGCTGGGAATGGCACCTTTCCAAGCAGCCGATTGCCTTGTGGTGAAAGGAATGGGTAGGTAGTGAATATGCCTCAGCAGTGGGCTTGTTTATTCTTTCTCTCTCCATACCGCCCCTTCCCCCAATCCTATATAATAAAAGAGAAACATGCAAATTAACCACCCCTCTGCTACACCCAAGCCACACCCACAAGCCACACCCACAAGCCAATCAGGAGTGAGTATGCAAATTAACCCAACTAAGATGGCGGCGGCCACGGAGCTGGAGTGAGCAGGAGGCTTGGGTTGCCCCTGGCGATGGAGGAAGCCAAGCTTCCCTCCTGCCCTGGCCGGCCCTGGGCTCCGCTCAAGACTACAAAGTTTCAATTATAGAAGATAAATAAATCCCAGAAAAAAAGAAAAAAAGGAGAGGCTGGGGGCTTGGGTCGCTGGGGGGCATGGCCAGCCTGCAAGCAGCCTTCAGCCCCTCACCCAGGCTGGCCAGGCACCCAAGCGGGACCCCCACCCTGATCTGGGACATCCTTCAGGGCAAACCAGCCGGCCCCCACCCGTGCACCAGGCCTCTATCCTATATAATAAAAGGTTAATATGCAAATTGACCATAACAGCAGAGTGACTGGGAATGACTGGTCACTATGACACACACTGACCACCAGGGGGCAGACACTCAATGCAGGAGCTGCCCTCTGGTGGTCAGTGCGCTCCCACAGGGGGAGCTCTGCTCAGCCACAAGCCAGGCTGACGGCTGCCAGCACAGCGGTGGTGGCGGGAGCCTCTCCCGCCTCCTCAGCAGTGCTAAGGATGTCTGACTGCAGCGTAGGCCTGCTCCCCGCTGGCAAGTGGAC